TACTTAAACCGTTTGGCTTTATCCTTTTTCTCCAACCGACAGGAATTTCTAATCGCTTTCCTGGAAATTACCTTCCATCCGTTTTCCGTTTTTTGGTTTGCAGCTTTTTTGCACTGAAGGCGTTGAGTTGATAATTTCCTAAGCCCGCACAAAGTGCCGAGGACAATGAAGAGTCACCCACATTATCGAAAAGTTTCGGGTCATTAAGCTGGCCAAAAGCAGGATGAACAGCCAGAACAGAGAGAGCAGACAAGGAAGGTGCAAACTAACCGGATAGAAAAACAATTGAATATTGAAGTGGCAATTAAAGTATGCTTCTTTTTTTTGGGGGAAAACTTTACTAGATTCAATGGGATGGCAATTTAATGCACATATGCCGAGATTTATGTGTTTTGTACGCGCCACGCTTGGCCAGAAAGGGCGAAACAAAGCGACATTTCGCTTTTAGACAATATTTTTCTTTCCAGGCAAAAGGCGCATCCCAGTCTTTCCGGGCTGGGGGAAATGCCATAAAGAAGGAATCATCTCATTCCATATAATGCCAAGCCATACCATTCCATGTGCTGGCATTTAAATGCACGAAATTGTTTTTGCCCCGCTCACTGGAATCCTCTGACAGGATGCGAAAACGTTTGAATATTCGCTACACAGTATCCTTTTTCTGTCTCCATATTTATTTTGTTTTTGTCGCTGTCGGCGATTTTTTGCCTGGCCGCGTATTTGGCATCGCGATAGCGCCAGGAATCGTCTGCCCAGCGCCACCGAAATGCACTTCAAATATCGGCCAATGCGTCAGGGGGAATTTCTACCAAATACATATTATATATAGATATATATACTAAGCTAAAGAAGTACGACTTGAGGAGAACCAACTTGGGGGCACACCATCTGCATTTTAATTTAATTCGCCTTGTTTACTCTGTCGGTCACTCGTCGCGTCTGCATTCAGAATGCGTTTTCTATGCGGCGCAATGGAAAATCACAGAAAAATACGCGAAAGCATTTGTCATTTGCATTCAACATGGGCCTTCCATGGGCTCCTCTTTGATTTTCCTCATCGAGGCCTGATCTGAGCTTTGTACACATTTGGCTTCTTCTGTGGAATCAGGGCAAACTGCAAAGTTTCACCGTTTGTTGTCAGAGTCGTTGTGATTTGTGCCCCACCTGTAAATTGGTAACAGAAACCACTTGATTGATACAAATCCTGGTTGGATACTTAAGAATATATTTTTATTATAATTATCAATACCCAAAAGTGTAACCTGTGTTTTTAAGGCATATCTTTAAGAAGTGTAAACCTAATCAACTCTTTAAGTGTAAAATTAACTCCAAGTACATGAACATCACTAGCACTTTCTCATATGTCTTAATAATTAGAATAGACTGCGCACAGTCAACATTTTTCCGACACGACATATTCCCAACAGGTGTAGACGCCACATCCCATTGCATGGCTATTTTCGGTCATGGGAACGATGACATCCTCATCCTCATCCTCATCAGACACTTCTATAAATATGTGCACAAATATACATACTTTCATATATGCAGGAAAGGCAACTAAAATGCATCTGCAACTTCACAGATCAACTTGAAAACCCCCAAAAAGTCGTAGATGGTTATGTGGAAAACCGCAACATTGCGACACAAAACACTTGAACGAGCAGCATCCGCAGTGGGAGCAATCCACCCGCTCCTGTGTTTTGAGTTATTTTACGAGTTTTATTGGCTTTTATTGGCAACGAGATTTGAATTTTTCAAAACGACACTTGCTGTCTCCGCCGCCAATGCTGGTCTTTTCGGTCTGTTCTCCTCTTTGGCTTAATCGTTAGTCATTTTTTATGGCCAGCACTTTTGCCTCGAGGGTCTCAAAACAGGTGGCGTCCCGATATGTGAGTTCACATCCTGGACATAACTTAGTCGCTGATTGCACTTTTATGGCCAAAAGTTGTTCCTCCCAAAAAAGAGAAGACAACAAAAATTGAACAACATGAACCATTTTTTGCGATAACCACAAACTGCTAATTAACTGTTGACTACAGAACCGTTTAATCCCTTTGGCCTTAAATGTCCGACCATCAAAAAAATTGAGTGCAAATTCCGGGAGATGGCATTCAAAGTGTGCCGCATAATGGCAGACACGACAGACAACTTGCTAATTTTCATGCGCCATTTAAGGGGCGAATCCTTGTTTCAAGGATACGGAATAGAACTCCCCCTATTTTTTGCCCGTCACGAATTCACTTGACAACTCTTTTTTGCTGGTGACTCCTTCGCTTCTTGTGATTTTTTTTATAACGATGCGACAAGGCAAGCCTCCTTTGGATCTACTTAAAATTCAGTGCCTGACATAAACATCCTTAAGCATCCTGCTAGTCAACAGTCGGTAGTCAGCAGTGCCAGCAATGCGCTTTAACGATATGTCAGAGATTAGAGAGCGTGGCAAATAGATGCCAGGACAATTAATTGGGGAATTAGTTGAGTATACAGATGAGGAAAAGTGGAATGTTTTGGGTAGTTTTCAAATGTTTTTTACTGGATTAAAGCATAATTGCAATGGTGATGGAACAATAACAATTTATAGCCAGTTTTTTTGAGGCTTGTAAGCCCTTATTCTTATCTTGCCTTTTTAAATAGTGTAATATACAAAATACTAGTTAGTTTCTATGTTAAGTACAACATCTTATTTAAGAAATGCTTGTAAATTGAAAAAAGCTTCAAGTAATAAAATCATACTTTTAATGTAAGAAATTGCATTTACTTTAAGTATTCGAAGTGTAATCATTTTCCACAAAATTTACCAAAACAATTTCGTTACCCTCAAGAAACATAAATGCAATAATAACCACAATAAAAATTTGTAAAAATGAGCATTACATGAGCTTGCTTATAGGAATATGAATCAAAATAAAATAACAGCCAGCGGCAATCGCGAAACAAAGCAAACAATAATTTCCCTCATATATAAAAAGAAAGGAAGTTAACCTCAGGAAGACGAAGTTAGTATACCCTTAGGTCATGACATCGAAATAGGATATTAATCACAACTAAGCCAAAAATGGATTAATTTTAATTTGGAAAGCTTTGCTGATCATGAATATATATGGTTTATAGGGTCGGAAATGATTCCTTCACTTCATTACAAGCTTCTGACTGAAATTAGAATACCCTTGCAAGGATATAAAAATACAGCAAGGACAGCAAGAGACTTTTGGAGTGGGCGAAGGACTCGCAGTGTTTTGGGCCAAGTCAAAACGGATGTACAAATTGCAAGGCATAATTCAAATTGTTTGACTTCTTGACAATGCCTCCCACTCTGTGGGTTTTCTAGCCGAGATGAGGTCCTTATCTTGGCATATGTGCCTTGAACTCGAAACTGGCGCCATTCGCCTGCAATGTTCCTCCTATACTGGTCTATTTATTTAAGCTCTTGACTGCAGTCGCCGGTAATTAAATTCCCTTCTATATTCCAGAGTGCGTGTGAGTCACATTAATTAGCTAAACTGCCAGAAAGTGCGCTTAAAAAGCAATTAAATGTGATTAGCATAAGTTGCCCCTCTCTCACTCACATGGATTTATATATATACATATATATTTTCTAAAAATTTGCCGCATACTTTTTGGCTTCTGTGGATTTTTGAAGGAGGTTACCATAAAGCTGCATCCATTTTGGCTGCCATTAGGTTCAAATGAGTTTTTGGCGGTTTTTTGGAAAACCATTCGACTTAATTAGTTGGCCAACGCCAACAGTCGACGCCCTCGCCTTTCTCTTCTCTTTTCTTTTTATTTTATTTTTTTTGTCGGGCCCAAAACTATGAATTTATTTGACACTTGAATAAATGCGGTTTTTGCGGCGGCCAAAAACGAGGAAAAATGGCAGAGAATATATTTTTCAAAATGGATTTGTTAGCAGCCAAAAATGTCTGTCGGCACACACACATGCTTGATATATAACCCATGTCGTGCTCTTGTTCCGCAGTTCGATTCCCAGCCTCTCATGGCCATATCCGTTTCCCGATTTCCTTACACGCTAAAAAAAGGGGGAATCCCCCTTCTGGCTGGGGGGCGTGTGTGTGTACTTAGCGTTTTGTAAAATGCCATTTCTGGGACCTCCCTAATTTATGAATGCTGCTAAGGCGGTAATTGTGTGATTTGAGAGTGTCCTGTGTGTGTGTGTGTGTGCGTATGTGCGTAGAGTGCACTTTTGGCGAACAAAGGACCAACGGGCAATGATGTCATCCTTGGTTGGGGTTTTCTGCGGATTAGAAGGTGACTGACTCTGAAGGATGCCTGATGGTGAAATATACTACTTCATTCTTTAAAAATTTGTGCCAGAGTTCAGTGGAAATAAATCTGTAGAAGAAAGGATTTATGGCTGAATAAAGATGTACTAATGGGTTAGGAATAAATAAGAAAAGAACTTATATTATCCCTAATAATAATGTGCTCAAGTGCTATAAAATGAAACTGGAGAGAAGAAATTTCTGAAATTCCCTTTAACTTAGAAATATATTTTTACCATATTAAAATTATGTATGTAAATCATTACTTGTACCTAAACAGGACCAGATTAATACCTCAACCAACATAATACTCAATATTAAAGATTAGAGCTTCCGTAAATCCTATAATAACGCCTAAAACTTATTTAATTTGCTTTGTTTATTAATATGTTCGCCTATCTTTATAAGGCATTGATGATTTCTGACCCTTTGGGTTAACTGAGTGTGGAACTTTGCAAACGCGACCTTGCCCACAATAATTTCTAGGGCAGTGTACACGGCCCCTCCCAAATCTATTTTAATTTATCAATTTGCAGTCAAGAGAGTCTACTGCAACTATTATAAATGTCATATCAAATTGTGAGAGCGATAACCGAACATGTCGTAATAGTAATAATATTCGACTCAACCGAGTGATTGAAATGGATTCTTTTGAAGAGTCGAACACCTTTTAATAGCAGTCGCACTTCCATTAATGCGTGTCATTTAAATTCATCGCCCTGCCCGGCGAAAAGTGTACAAATTGTTCCGTGACCGCAGTCCGTTGGAGGGAGTCGATCGAGGCGGTCCCATAATCTTCGCCCGAACAATCAAATTCAACTAAATAAATAACAATTATTCTCGGCAAACAGTATGTTCTGCTGCTTATCAACATTCCTGGCCTACGTTGGGCTCTATGCCCTGGCCTCATATCTGTACGAGCAGTTGCGAACGCCGTTTAGATTGCTGAAACTCAGGTATTTCGGTGATCCCAGTCAGAGGCCCACGCTCAAGGAACGCTATGGGGACTGGGCAGCCATTACGGGTAGCAGCGATGGCATTGGCAAGGAGTATGCCAAGGAGCTGGCCAGGCAGGGTATCAATGTCGTCCTCATCGCCAGGAACGAAGAGAAGCTTCAGGCGGTTGTGAAGGAAATAGGTGAGTCTAAAGGTGGGATAGATAAGGAGCATGTCTGGGACCAATGGTTAACACTTTCTTATCAATTAACTCGGATGACAATTACTTTTTGATAAAGTGATTAAAAGCCTTCTAGTTGTTAATTTGGATACACTATATATTGAATATATTTTGTGTATCAATTCAATATTTATTGTTAGTATTTTGGTACTATTTCTTATAAAGGAGAACTTTCAGAATTTAAATTAATGAATTTTTAGCTTAGCTTAGTACGGCTACGAAGTTACATATATTTTATTGTTCGAATATATATTTATATTTTAAAAGTGCTTAAAATTTTAGTAAGGTACATTTATCTTGCTTAATATGAATAAAATATGTTTTAAAGTCTAATAATAATTTAGTTTCTGTCCATTTAAAATGGGGCAAACATTTTGGCTAGTCAAATCAAACTATAAAGTTATTAAAAAGTCTATTATCTAAAATATTAATTGATGCGGTAACTGTGATTGCTTCCTTTAGCCGTGTAATAATTCTAGTTTGGTTTAAAATTTAAAAGAACACGCAAAGCACCTGTTGAAGCTGTTTTTTAAAGTCATGCAATGGACTTTTATGCATTCAATCAACATGCTTACATTGTCATTCGAAATGGCAGGTTCTTTAAATTATTCGAATTGGTGTGAAAGATTAACATATCATAAATTAATTTACACGACACTCTTAATAAATTAAAACATTAAACTAATAATGCTTAATTTTATGTCAACAGAAAGCGAGAGTAAAGTGCAGACCAAAATCGTGATTGCTGACTTTACCAAGGGCTCGAAGGTCTATGAGCATATAGAAAAGGAACTGGCCGATGTACCCATTTCTATACTAGGTAAGTAAGAAATATTAACTAGATATATTAATAAATATTAAAATTAACAATCAAAACTCCCTTTTATACAGTTAACAACGTAGGAATTGGCTCTCCAAGTTCCGTCCTGAAGTGGACCCAGGAATCCACCCAGGACATCATTGATACCAATGTGGTGGCCGTGTCACAGCTGTCCCGCATCTTCTTCCAGCGCATGAAGGCGGAAAAGATTAAGGGCGCCATCGTTAATGTGAGTTCCGGAACGGAAATGCAGCCTTTACCCTACGCCGCCTACTATGCCGCCTCGAAGGCGTTCAACCGTAGCTTTACTCTGGCTCTGCATGCTGAGGCAAAACCCTTTGGAATCCATGTCCAGCTTCTGTCCCCCAACTTTGTGGTGACCAAGATTAACTCGTACTCCAAGACGATCATGAAGGGTGGCCTCTTCATTCCCACGGCAGAGTCTTTTGCCCGGAGTGCGGTGAATCAGTTAAGAGACGGAGTGGATGAGACCCCGGGACACCTGTGGCATCACGTTCAGAATGCTGTCTCTACTGCTTTCCCCTGGCGGATTCGTCTCTTTATGGCCACAAAGATTTTCTCCCTTATGACGGACAAAAAGAAGAAGTAAAATTTAATAGTTTTGATGTTGTAAATATGTAGCCTTGAAGCAAATAAAATGCTATATTTTGTAAACAAAATAGATAATATTTTGAAGACTATAAAATTGACTTATAACAAAGAACATATCAGATATTTAAATCTTAAAGCCTAAGAGCTTAATTATATTTTAAAATGTGAGTAATATCAACAAAACATGCAAATTTAAAAAAATTGCCTAACTTATGGTAAATGGAGCTATAGTTGAATGCAAGTTGTGTAGAATTCAATTTCAAATTGAAAATGAAACAATTTTATAGGAAAATGTTGCAAATAAATTATAGCACAGTTTCAGGCAGGTTTATAGCATACGGCTTGTGACTTGGCTAAGGTGAATTCGAAATGCCAAACTTTAACGAATATTTCGGACTTTGAATAGAAGTTTTAACGAAAAACAAATGTTTAGTTTAAACCATTACTCAAACTTAAACTCAAGAAACTATTAATAAAAAAATAATAATATATACAACAATTTAATATTTTATATATATGAACATATATTCTTTAGTTTACTAAAAAGGCAACACTGTCTCCATTCAGAACTATCGAAGAAAGCTTTTAATTTTCTCTGTCAAAGAACTTTTCTATCATCACTTTCAGTCTGGAATCAATATTCGGCTAGACAGGCCGCAGCTGAAAGTTTCTTATTATAAAATATTGATTTTCTGACCGACGAATCAACGTGAGTTTGAATTAAGTTTTTATGAAAGAAGTTTAATGAAAATTGTGCTGAGAAATGCCTTTTAGAAATATGGCTTGTGGAACATCGATTTAAATTACATAAATAACAGGCGAGGTGTTTCAAACACCTTTGCCATTAACAAAACAAAGACTTGAGCAACAAGTAGGATTTTCTAAATTCAATATACAAATTTCAGTATTTCCCTTTGAGTTTTCAATATATTAAGTGCAAGTTAAATGAAGTATATAATACATTTGAAAAGTGAAAGACCCATATATCACACTTTAAAATAATGATCAGTCTATGTATAATAATTGTGGGAGATATTTACACATCAGTAATTTGCGCGACACACACCATTATCATCAACTCTTAATATCATTTTTATTCAGTAAAACTGTGTTAATTGCTGAATACATTAGCTAAATGTGAAGTTTTTATACCAAATGCTGATGATAGCCGGCAAAGATAAATATGTGAAAATCTTCTTGAAGCTTTCATGGTTCACTGACGAGCAGTTGTTGTGATTATTTGTTCGGAAATACATTTCAACTTGGTTCCGTAGTTGATAAGAGCAATAAATATATATTACAACGCATGGTATTGAGAAAATATAAGATAATGGGGTAGGTTTGTTCAGCAATAATTAAGTGTAGGAGGGGTTGAAAGCAGAAAGAAATACTGATAACCGTGCATTTAAAATAAATGTGTATTTTAATAAAAATAAATTAATGATGCCGTAATTATAAATACTATTATTTCCTCTTAAGGTGTGATAATGACACCAATTTGTATTTGACAACTGTCTTAATTCCAGAGTTTTTAGCAAAAATTGACACATTTTTCAACATGCAAAAACATAACTCGGGAAAAATGACAAAAAACTGTCTCAGGTGCCGGGGTTCATTGCATGACTAAAGTCAATTTAACGCATCTTTCGCTTAATTGTTTGCAATTAGTACTACACCGCAAGTAAGCTGATTATGCCCTTCGTAAGTAAGTTGAAATTGCTACAGTTCAGCGCAGATTGAATAAAAGTATTCCCAGATTTTGAGAGGGAAAGCTATCGTCTTTCGGGTCAACTCTTTTCAATTAAATGTAAAATAATTCACCCGCCAGAGCCTCGTAGTTTTTCATCATCATTTACAGCGACTCTTAACACCGTCGACTGTCCGTGGTAAAGGCAGCATAAGTAAATAAAATTTTTATGAAATAATGAACCGACAAAAACCGAGTAAAACCGCGAAAAAGAGACCCAACTGCAGTGGCCTTTCCGCTGTAATTGTGGCTTGTTGAAGACCAGATCCGAAAACGAAAACCCGAAACCGAAACTGAAGAAACCGAAAGCCCGAAGTTTGCGGCTTCAAGAGTTTCAATTCAGTGCGTGATCGGCGCTTCAACCTGCAACTTGTGACTCTCGAAGAAAAGATAGACAGATACACCATCGAAAAAGTGGAAATTGTAAATTCGGAATACCCGGGGAAACTATTAATAATCATCACGACGAGTGCGTGTAGTGATAAGCTCTTGTTCCACAAGCCATTCGACTCGTCTTATCGCCAACCAAAAATTCGTTTATTATTTGACTCAATAAAGAGAGCTCTTAACTTCTAACATGCAGCCAGTTTTGGAAGTGAGCATTTACACCCTGCTCAGGATGGCATTCATTTGGCAGCTGGTTTCCGCGGTCATCTATATAGTGGGATCCCTGACGATCGCCGCCTTTCTTTATGACAACTTTAAGTCCCTGATCAGCATTATCAAGGCTGTGCTGGAGCCATATTTCCAGCCTCATTTGCCAAAGACTCTTGTGGATAATTTGGCCAATGGGCAGGTGAGTGAACTGTTTTTATTCTTATTCATATGTACTTCATCTTGCATTACACATTTCTATATAATATTGGAAAATAATAATAATTTCTACATATAATTATTATAGACTTCATAATGAAGATTCCTGCATTACCAAAATACATCTGTAACTAAAACTTTTTTTCGGCATACAATACACACCTCACTATATACCTTTAATCGCAAACTGTATACTTTCCGCCAATCATGTTATTCAATCCGACTTTTGCATATATTAACCCCAAGGGTCTGTCAATATTAGCTTTTTCGGTGTCTCCACATTCGCAAATGCAAATTGTTTACTAAGCTTTTGGAAAGAGTGTTTTATTTAGGAATACATGTCTATATACATTCTTTCACATAGGAACTGCAACTCAGTATTGGCTTAGCCAGAATCCCATTACTGCCGGCTTCATAATAACAAAATATTTTTTACTAAATTGCTTCTTAATTCTAGAAATTATCGAGTATAATTTGTATTCCGTGTATTATTATTTGTGTAGTGTAGTAATTTACAAGATTCGGCTTTTGTGTTACTTATAAATTAGGAACAATTATATTATTTTAATAGTTAAATAAATCACACGACCGCTTGGACTGATTACCTTGAATTTGGGGAAAAGGTTACAAACCTCATTTCGGATAAGATAAGGAATCAATAATCATTATGATTTTGTTCCTTATTTGATATTGTCAGCATGAAAAGATTGCTTAAAATTTCTTATCAGATAGTTCGATGAAGTTCCCAACATTTACAAAGTCCATGTCTGATAAGACGTTAAAGCATAATTGAACCAACATTAAATAAATTGGAACATTAAAAAACTATTTTTAACTTAAATTTATCATAAATTGCTCGAGTTGAATTCTATCTTGTACGGGAGAAGTCAAATAATAATATTAAATTTGTAGAAAATTTATATGAGATAATGTTTATACATTTTTATATACTCTCAACGTGATCATTTTTATTTTAAACTGAACATGCCAATGCATTTCTTTATACCTTACTGACAGTACTTTTTGCTATATATATTTATATATTATATATGCATATCAAGTTTAAGCTGTAATATGATATAAAGGATATTTAAAAATCAACAAATTACTTGCCCAATTGGCTTTGTTTGTATATCAGTTAATGGAACACGCAAAGTCATTCAACTCGTAAACAAACCGGCTTGAGATTTTTTCGTTTTTGTTTCGCATTTTGTGTTAGCTTTGTTTTTGGTTTTATTATTTAATTATTTTTCGCTTTCATTGACTGAAGTCTCGTGCTGCTCTAGCGGTTATTCATTTAACTGTCGCTTCTCTCGTTTATTGTCTATTATTGTTAATTAAAGCATGACCTTCGGTGGCAACAACTGATCGACTTCTCCATAGTTCTCTAATTGAATTATGGTCTTTTTTTTATTGCTCACCAATCGAACTGTAAAATCTGGTCAAAATGTACGGCATTTGCATTAACTGGCAACACGCAAGCGCAACAATCGATGGCTGGTGTTGGTGTTGCTGTTGCTAATATTTCCATGTTGCCATGTTTCCGTTGCACAAATATTTGGCAACCAGTAACCAGCAAACAGCTGCCAGTGGCAACATTGCAGCAATTGCCACGCAAGCCGGTTTCCTTCTGATCTGCAGCCAATTCCATTCATGATTCGTCAGTATTTAGCTATTTGCTTTGGTTTGGGCAACCGGCAACTGGCAACTAGCCACTGGCAATGTGATTAAAAAGAGCCACACGAATGCAGTGGGTTAATTAGCGGGCAAATGCTAGGTTTGAAAAGGTCTTCCGAAGAGATCTTTGCAGTTGCCAAAGTCACTAAAATATAAGCAAATGAACGAAAGTGTCGAAATTGGTCAACAATTGATGGTATCTTTCGTTAAGTTATAAACATTGCATGTCAAATATTTGTTGATTTCAAAACTATTATTTTTGAATTGCGCTTTATACCCTTGCACGGTTATAATTTTAGTCATATTTTACATGACAATTTTGTCAACAAATCAAATTTTAAAAATTCATAACTAACCCAAAAATTAATTAATTTTAATTCGGAAACATTTTTTATGCGAGTTTTTAATAAGGCAATAAAACTGTATACTCAAATTACTCACAAATAATAATACTAACTAACTAAATACATAAATAACTTTAATACCTTTCCTTGAGTGAATATTTTAAATGACAATTTTGTCAACAAATCAAATTTTAAAAAATTCATAACTAACCCAAAAATGAATTAATTTTAATTCGGAAACATTTTTTATGCGAGTTTTTAATACTGCAATAAAACTGCATACTAAATTTACTCGCAAATTAGTCCCTTGCATTTCTACAAGCTTCTGAAATAACTTTTAATACCTTCCTTGAGTCAATATTTTAAATGACGATTTTGTCAACATATCTAATTTTAACAAATTCATAACTAACCCAAAATGTATTCATTTTAATTCGGAAACATTTTTATGCGAGTTTTTAATA